GAGGCAGAGAGTGGGTGGGCAGTGGCCTCCGCCGGGCTGTCCACCCCCTCCACTGTCATCTGTTTTAAACCATGAGCTTTGGTATAACATTGTACTAGTTGGCTAGGGCTGTTTTAACAAAATACGACCAGCCAGGAGGCTTAAACAACAGAAATGTATTGTGTCATAGTTCTGGAGCTAGAAGTCCAAGATCAAGGTTCCAGCAGGGCTGGTGTCTGGTGAGAGTTCTCCTCTTGGCTTGCAGAGGGCCACCTTCTCGCTGTGTCCTTACATGGCCTGTATGTGGTGCATGAATGGAGAGAGAATTCTCTAGTACATCTTCTTATAAGGACACTAGTCCTATCAGATAAGGGTTCTATCCTTGTGACCTTTTTCATCTTAATTACTTCTGTACAGGCCCTATCACCCAATCTAGTCACACTGGGGGTTAGGGCTTCCACATATGCATTTTGGGAGGACTCAAACACAGAATTCATAGCAAATATCTTGTTTTAACAAAAGTTAGACTTTTGACAGAGTTTGAAAACCTTGTGCCCTTGTCAGAGCCCATCCAGATTGAGGAGATGGACAGGATGGACCCCAGAGGACTGGTGACTCACCCAGAGCCCCCACTGAGGTGATGGCAGGGCTGAAGCCTGGCCATGACACACACGAATGCATGTATGCCCCCCCCCGTTATTAATATTTTGAAAAATTGTGGTGGCATTTAGGTTATCAAATCAAACCATAGAAACTTAAAAAAATGCAGAATGGGGCTGACAAGCACTGTGTATTGGAAGTCAGTGGGGAACAATTCTGTTGAAACACACGATTAAACCAAGTGCACAGTGAAGCTCAGAGGGCATGTTTAATTTGTCTAGAATGAAGGAAAAGAGTTTAGCTTTGTGGTCAAGACTTGCAGAGATTCTGAGGTAAACGTCTGAGTAATCTTGATCACCCTTATTACTGTACCTGATTCTGCTTACTTGGACATAGCTCTACCCTATGTTTTTGACTTTGTAGCCATGTTAGCATCTATATTTCATTCTCAAATGCCATGAAGAGATAAAGAGGCCATGGACTTCTCCTGATGTAACTGGAAAGGCTCTTGGCCCTGTGTCATCTCATCAACACAGTGTCTAACACACAGCAGCTGCTCATTAAATGCATACTGAGTGAGGAGATGAATAAGACCAAATGACACAGACAGGGATTAGGGGTCAAATGGACACTGACTTACAAATGAGAAAGTGATCGCTGGATTGTTTTCTGACACCTGGCTCTGGTTGTCCACCTGCCTCTTAGTGGCCTCTTCCAAATCCCTTATGGATTCCTTTGGTGGCACAGTGGGCTGAGGCCCATGGGCCTGGCGTGCTGGTGAGGCCTGAACAAGGGTTGGGCCTCGTTCCAGGCCCCAGTGAGGAAGCCATGAGCCCTCAGGTATGTGGACCAGGCTCTGAAGTCTCTGTTGCTTCTACCCTTCTTTTCCAGATTCTTAAGGCTCTTGTTCCCCTGCCCACCATGTGACCTCAGTTCTCCTGACATTCAGGGCACTTGAGGAGAGCATGGTGGCCCCAGAGATGGATGATGTTGGTGGGGGTACTGTGCTTGGGTGTTCCCTCATAGTCCGTGTGTCAGATGGTGGGGAGAAGAGGGCAGGGCATTATCCCTGCTAGGTGGCTTTAGGGGCCACGTGGGTGAACAGAGGAAAGAGACCTGGGGTGATGAGAACTGAGGTGCCCAAGAAAGAGTGAGACCTTGCTCAACAAGAGCCTGAGGTGGACAGGAGAGTGTCGGAGGTGGGGAGGGACTGTCACCAAAGTTAGACAAACAGATGGGCCAAGAAACAAAAGCTCCAAAGAGGCAGAAGTAACTGCTTCCTTCTCATATGTTTTTCGGGCTGTAAAAATCATACATATTCATTGTAGAAAATCAGTAGACTTTATGGGCTGTGGACTGGCCCCGGGGCTGTGCAGAGCAGAAAGCCTCAAGAGGTTCTGGGGCCCTGGGGGCTATACTCCATCTGTGTCAGGTGCTGGCCATGATCCAGGTACTGGTGCCTCTGATACCTCTCCCAGCCCAGTGGCTGTGTGAAGAGCCTGAAGAGAGGTGGGCCTCAGACAAGACTCAGTCACCTTCCCTGTCCCTCTGGCCCCCAGAGGTGACTGAGCTGCTCCATGGAAGGGTGGGCTGGGGGTGCTGGAGTTGGTGGGAAGGAGGGTGGAGGAGAAGCCCTGCACACATGTCCACAGAGGACTTGAGATCCTGAAAATGCTTTGGGACATGGGCAGGAAATCCCAAAGGTGGTGAGGCTCTCTAAACCCATTCCATGAGTGCGAGGCAGGCGTGTGGGTAGACTTGGGGCTTCTGAAGAAAATGGCTTCACTGGGGGCTTTGGTCATTTCCTACCAGGCAATCTCCTGTCGCCCCAGCCCAGCATGGAGATGTCTCAAGCCTACCTTCCAATGCTCCACATAGGTGTGGGCTTGAGCTAAAGGTGTCGTTGACCACGTCCAGCCAAACTACCTCCCTCCCAACCTCTCCTATGAGCACAGGTGGGGCATGATCTGGTTGGAGACACTGCCCACTCTTGTTGGGTGTCTTCAGCCTCCACTCATGTTCCACCCTTTCTCTCTCTGAGTCTAGGGTCATCTCCTTTCTTTTATCACTGTGTTCCCTTGCCCCTCCTTAAGGGGTTATGTCTTAAATGGTGGAGTGAAGGGAAGGTGCCTGATAGAGATAATTTAAGGATCTGTAGGCTGTGAGAGCTGAGTCAGTATTTCTGGGCCCCAGACCCCATCACCTTCCTGGCCACCCACTCAGTCCATGTGTGAGCCCAGCTCAGGCCCAGAATTTCCTTTCCTGGCCCCACTCCAGGGCTTAAGAACTTTGTGTGGGTGCTGGAGTGAGGCTGAGTGGCCTCTTATCTCCATAGCACCTGGCACAGGGTATGGTCTAGAAAACAGTATCATGGGAAGGCTGCCTCCTCTCACCCTACCTGGTTCTGCAAAATGATTGAACCAGCCTCTGCTTTTTACACACTTCTTGTGTTACGTTTATGTGACCTGATTTTCTGCATCTGCAAAACTGAGAGGCAGGTCCTGGTAACCAGGCAATTCAGATGCTGTTCTCATGACCACGCCAACACCAGCCCTGGGGGCCTGTCTCTTCCCCACTCAGCTCCATCCTTCCTGCCTCTGAGGTGAGTTTGGCAACTGCCCTTCCATCATCAGACCCTCTGTAGAGTCATCGATCACCCTGCCAACCATCTCCATTTCTCTCTAGGGCCACGGGTCCTACCCAAGTCTGTGCACCTGCCACACCTTGTCCCTGAAGTGTTGACTCTGTGGGAAGCACAGGTGTACATCCAGAGATGGGAACCTCAGTATTGGTGTCAGAAACTCAGATGCCCATGGTCTCCTCAGGGAATGCATGAGCTGTAGCTGATGGGTGAGGACATGCCCTGGGAAAAGGGCAGAGCTGCCCTGAGCTCTACACACTATCACATGGATGAGGCTGGTGGGGCCTCTTCTCCAGACATCTGAAGTTTTAGATAAATCATCCTGATTTTTTAATGTTGGTAACTAAGCAACATGCAGCTAGCTGACTCTGACTGGTGGTGCTGGTGGCTGACACTCAGTGAGCACTTAACATGCCAGATCATGTTCTGATCCTTTCTGCACAGTCAAGTCGCCATCACTGTTGTCACATCTCAAACTGGGAAATAGACGCATAAGCAAAGCAGGTCACTTGCACCAGATCACCATTTGATAAGTGGCGTCTGAATGCTGGCAGCCTGAGCCGAGCTCCCACAAGTAACCATAGGACTTTTACCCCTTTTTATGTAAGACTCCGAGTCCTAACAATTCTGTTTAATGAGCAGCTTCTATGTGTGTGGTGAGGACACATCATCTTGTTCAAGCCTCACAATAGCCCTGTGGAGTCTCTATTAAAGCCTTATGTTAGGGATTGGGGACAGTGACTTTCCCAAGCTCTCTCAGCCTCTGTGTGGAGGGCTAAGACCAACACTCAGGTCCATCTGGCTCCAAAGCCCCAGCTTCTTCCAGGTAGCCTGGTTTCTCTCTGAGTCCCCTGCGTCCAGCCTAGGGCCAGGCTCATCAGGGCCATTGGGGATGGAGGATGCGTGTCTGGAACTTGGCTTCTGAGGCTGCAGGCAGGGCTCTTGGCGTGGGGCTCAGTCCAGGGCGGCAGGGGTGGGCCTGGGTCTGAGCAGCCCCACAGAGAGGCTCTCTGCGCTCTGTCCCGTTCACTTCTCCGCAGCGAGAGGCACTGCCAGATTTCCCTGTGGACCATCTCAGTGCCCAGGGCATAGTTCACAGCGTTGATCGTGGGCACCATTTTGGCAATGAGAGCGGGCACCTGTTGGGGCAGAAACATCCAGGAAAGAAGCTTCAAAAGCCTCTGCTCCTCTCCCTGGTCCCACTTGGTGACCCAGCCCTCCCTCTTCCCCACTAAGCCACCAATCATTTGTCGTTGGCTTGCTGTGCCACCTCTGTCTTCCCTGACCAGCTGTCCGATGATGCATGGGAACACATGCCTCCCTGGGCACAGTCTCAGCCCCTGGTCCCAGAGGGCATGTTCACCACCTGGCTGCCTGTCCCCGTCATTTCACATGAGGCTTAGGCAATGTCAGCAGCAGCCCTGTGTGGCCTGGGTGACAAGCAAATTCCCAGTGCATTATGAGTGTTCAAAGGAAGAGAGAAAGTGAGACCATCATTAGGCAGTAAAGCAAGAAAGAGAGATGGGTGGCACAGAGACACAGAGACAGAGA